CTTCATTGGTGGTCTCGGAGAAGCCTTCAGCTGTAATATTGAGCGCAGCTTCTCTGGCAAGGTCCACTGCTACTGCAACAGTCTGAACCTCACCAGTCACAGGTTCACTCCTCCTCTCACCTGGTATGCCATGCAACACATGTCTCCATGCGTGACGAATCGTAGCAATAGTCAGCAGATCCCATGCCTCCACCAAGAAGTCTACAGCTTGTTTGACGTTAAACTTCTTCCAAAATTGTTTGACGAGAAGTTCTTGAGTCGCCGCCTCTTGTTCCTTGTCCTCGTCGCTTTTACTCTCGCTGTCGGTGTCACCCAGCTTACGCAACTCATCCTTGGTGTTGGTAGAGTCGTTCAGGAGCTTGAACTTCTTTGCAGAGTATGCAGCTTTCACATTGCAGATCAACTCCTAGTCCATGGGCTGGATTAATGACGTAGTGTTGGGAGGAAGGAAGACCACTTTTACGTTGGGGTGACGATCCATAAGTAGGTGCGAGTGTCCAGGTACGTTGTCAAGGAGCAACAAAATATTGAATGAAACATTCTGTTGCTCGCAGAATTTCTTCACGTCGGGAACAAAACAGTTGTCAAACCAGAAGAGGGACAGAGAAGAGGACATCCACGCCTTACGTGCGGTTAGCCAGTGGACATTAAGCTTGTTCATGTCCATATTCTTGTAGGCGTGCGGCTTGCGGGCTGTGTGAATCACCGATAACTTTGGTTTACAGGTACCAGAGGCATTGGTGGTAAACAGGACCGTGATGCGTTCCTTCTGCAACTTCCAACCCCTTACCTTGCTGGCAGACTGGACAACGAAGGTCTTGGAAGGTAACTTTTTCCAGAAAAGACCAGATTCGTCCATGTTAAACACCTGGTCGTCACTGTACTGTCCTTCCTCCATAATCTCACGTAAAAACGGAGGAAAATCTCTAGCCGCCACACAGTCAGCACTCGCTTCCTCACCACCAATGTTGATGTTGGTGATCTTGTTCCTCTTCTTAAACCTATGCAGCCAACCAGAGGAAGCATTGAAGGGTTTGGGCTCTGCAATTCCCAGCTTACGTGACACTGCTGCGTATAGCTCACGTGCGTACTCCTGCACTGAGCGCGTGTCCACCGCCATGTTGCGTCGCGCTAGACGAATCAAATAACTCACCAGCAAATTTTCCACTTTTGCCATCACCCTGTTCTGGCAATACCTGATCGTTGAAGCACCTGCAGACTTTGTGATTTTCATGTGCTCTTTGATCTTGGCTGCATCCTTCTTGCTAGTGCGAATCGTAGATTCGTTGACGCCATGCTGGCGCGCGAGATCAACTTGCCGTGTTCCTTTCTCCAAATCTTGAATGATCTGGTACTTCACTTCGTAGCTTAGACCACGGCGTGTCTTCTTGGGCTTAGGGTGGCTGGGTCCAGGTAAGGAAAGGTCTCTCTCTGGTGGCGGTGGTGGTCCGGCGGAAGCCATTTCACAGAACAATGGGTTCACGTATACACGGAGTGGCCTGGAGGGATTAAACTGCCGCGGCTAGATGAAGCGTCGTCTTTCCTCCCTCCCTCCCTCCCTCCCCCGGGTGGACACGTCATAATACTTTAAGCCAATTACAGCTAGCAGCAGAGGGGGGGGTAGGGATGCATGGCCAATCACAGTCAGATACGGCATATGACGTCAGTGATAACGCAACAGACATGCACTGCGCAACCTTACAGCGCGGCTTGCCCAAGCGGAGGGAGGAGGGAGGAGGCCAGAGCAGGGGGGTGGGGCGAATCTAAAAATAGCGTCTCGAGCCGGACACTCACCGAGTATACGTGGAAAAAACCCTTGTTAAGTGAAAGTTCGGCTCTGGCGAGGCACCGCGTATACGGTAAATCGCGCTAAGGGAAACCGCGTTAAGCGGGGTATTACTGTATATATATATATATACAGTATATATATATATATATATATATATATATATATATATATATATATATATATATATATATATATATATATATATATATATATATATATATATACACCGTATATACCCGTGTATAGCACGAGTTCTTAAGACCAAATTTTTGAGCAAAAAGTTGGGGGTCGACCTCTATACGGGTAATAGTTTCGTTAGGTTGAAAAATATTTACCAGTAACTACCAGTAAACAATGGAAACGACGCACCAACGCACCGCCTGCTGTGAGTGTCGGTACAGTTGCCAGGGCAGATCTCTTGCGTCATCATAGCAAGCCCAAAGTAGCCGAATGCATGGTATGGTATGCACAGGAGTATGTAAAACATAAAGTATTCATTTTTAAAAGTTTATTTATAGATACATAAATTTTTGTTAATTAAATTTGAAACATCAATATGATGTGAGTCAGGTCATCTACACACAGTTGCCAGTTTCAAAATTTTCCTTTTAAAATTTTAAGTTACCGAGTAATTCTTTTCCCAAATCATTTTACAATACTATAGGTAAAACAGTATACTATTGTGCAAACCCCACAGAAAAAAAATTAACAAATGGAGACACCAAAAACTGTAAAAAAAATAAATGCTGTCTGACTTGCAACACTGTTGGTAGGGTCAGGTGGTTCTAACGGTACCTGCCAGGACCCGGTAATCAAATTTATAACAATATCTAACCTCAATTACTGTAGTTTATCTGATGTAGGCAATATGAAGTAAAAAATACCATTTAAAGTGAGAAATTGGAAGAGAATAAACAAGAAAGATGTTGGGCTATTTTTGGTAGGGCTGAGGGAGAGAGTACCAGCTGTTTGGTCTTTTTTGGCGGGAGAGTCACGCAAATATCCGTACTAGTATTTGTTTGGTGTCTTCTGTATTTTTAAAAATGAATATTTGTAAATTAAAAGTACCGTAACATTGTATTATATAAAAACTTGTCATATTTCTGGAAAATAAGAAGCAAGAAAATAAGAATACACCGGTAAACACAATTTCAACGTACGCTAAAATTAAAAGCTGCTTAAGAAGGGCCGATGCAAACACAAAGCCTCCGCGACCAGGGCTCTGTCGTATCAGTTAGACGGTACACGTGTTTTTCGAATCGTTTTCAGTTAAAAAACTTTTACATCACAAGTGAATTAGGATAGAATATTATTGTAATATAACAGTTTTTAACTGAAAACCATTCGAAAAGCGATTACGGTAACATCTTTTGAACGAAAGAAAGCGAGTCATTGTTTTTGTCACGATTTTATCCCACTTTCCACTATAATACGTACGTCATTTCAGCAAAAATATTACATTTCCATATTCTCAGAAATAAATAGTAGTTTTGCTGAAACGTGATGTATTTCAATGTAAATTAGGATAAACTACATGAAAACAAAAGACTTTACCTAACCTTCCGATGATCAAGAGATGTTACTCGTATTTTTAATAGTTTTCGGATAAAATACTGTTATATTAGTGATATTCTATTCATACTGTGCTTGATATAATACCTTCACGGAAATGTAATATTTTTTGCTGAAATGACATACGTATTACAGTGGAAAGTGGGATAAAATTGTGATGAAAACAATGACTTTCGCTTTGTTTCGTTCAAAAGATGTTACCGTAATCACTTTTCGAATGGTTTAGTTAAAAAACTGTTGTATTGTATTACAATAATATCCTAATTGACTTGAATAAATATTACGATACCATATTTCTGAATATTTTCATTAAAATCCATCAAAATAATTTTCCTTGTCATCGTCTGCAGCACCAAACAGCTTCTCCCAGTCCTCTCCTTGAACAGGGCTAGAGGATACGTGTTTTTCGAATCGTTTTCAGTTAAAAAACTATTACATCACACGTATATTTTACCTAAACTGCGCCTGAATGAATATATTCTCGGAAATAAATAGTAGTTTTGCTGAAACGTGATGTATTTCAATGTAAAATAGGATAAAATACATGACGAAAACAAAAGACTTTACCTGAGCTTTTGATGTTCTTGAGATGTTATTGTTTTTTTTTACTAGTTTTCGGTTAAAATACTGTTATATTACAATGATATTCTATTCATACTGTGCTTGATATAATACATTCACGGAAATGTAATATTTTTGCTGAAATTACGTACGTATTACAGTGGAAAGTGGGATAAAATTGTGACGAAAACAATGACTTTGAAATATAATGCAATATTAACCCCTAAATCGGTTAATTCGGACAATCGGCTAAAACGGACACCCTTCTATTATTAGTCCGAATTAACGAGGGTCCACTGTAGTGTTTTTTGTAATCAAAACATTAGTTGATTGTAGCTGTAATGATGAATTTCAAATTATTTGATTCCTTATATGATTTTGCATGAACAGTGATATCCCCATTAGCCGGAACAATTGGTGCAGAACACTTCCAGGAATGAGAGATTTCTGGGTAACGAGATGACTCTCAAAACCAGAAAAAATCCCTCATCCCTGGAACTTTCCAGGTAATGGAAAAATATTCTTGGAAGTTCTAGAAATTGCCCATTACAGAACATATCTCTCAAACCTGGAAAAATATCCCCCATCCCGGAATTTTCTGGGTACCGAAAAAAATTTCTCATAATATCTGGAAAATGCACGTGATTTTTATCTCTCAAACCCGGAAAAAACTCCCCCATCCTTGGAATTTTCTGGGTATGAGGACAATTTTCTCTGAATTTTCCGGAAAATGTGCCCTTTGGAAAATCGTTCCCAAAATCTTAATTTCCAGGAAAATTCCGGCTTTGGGAACAATTTTCTTAAAAAATTTCATTTCCAACTATCGGAGAGTTCCGTGTTTGAGGGATTCTGGCTAACGGAGATATTACTCATAGACATTGTTCAAATACCGTAAGTGTCAATGTGCAGTCGGAAAATAGCTTCAGTGAAAAGAAAATTGCCGGCCAGCCAATATCCCTGATTCAGACTGACCGTTACTGGGGATTTCGGGTAGTGGCGACTAGGACTGTGAGAGTATTAAGAACCTTTATATTGTTTAAGATATTTTTAATGACTCAAAAATATTTTTATATTACAGGCTATTGACAGTTTAGGGTATGATACACCCACACCCATTCAAGCGGCAACTATCCCTGTAGCACTTCAAGGTCGTGACATTTGTGGCTGTGCAGCAACTGGCACCGGCAAAACAGCTGCATACATGCTTCCTATACTAGAAAGACTACTCTACAAGCCAAAAGATGATATTGTAATTAGAGTGTTGGTTTTGGTCCCGACACGAGAATTAGGCATCCAGGTAAGAGCTTTCATGTTGGTCATTATTATTGTTCTCTTCATCTCAGTTAATGGATCTACTGTTTAAATATTTATTGTCAAGACAATTGTAGTCTCTTAGCTTACAACCAAACCTGATGCAGTTGAGGTTGAAATTCAGGTTTTGGAAATCTTTGATTTTATAATTTTATTGCAAAATCTGTTGATATATTATCAATACTACAGGAATACCCTGGTTATTGCAAAAGATGCGTTCCTAAATATCAAATATATTTTCCAAGTTCATAGCCAGAATTGGCAGCAAGTGGATGTTGTTTACTCCTGATAATTTCCATGTCCATAAGAATTAGCTTTATGTTTGCTGTCTTGTTTTGTTTTGTTAGGTTTTCTACCCTCAACACATCAATAAAATATGCTGTTCCATTAACCCTTTGACCGCGCCGTCCGATTTCAAGGTTGTTCCCGGAAAGTGTCATTAAGTCACCAAAAAATGAAAGTGCTGTTTTGAGCTTTTTTATTGCTTTTCTATAATGAAAGAAACTTGGTCTTTCCATATATGGCATTTATATTCCTTAGAAATGTTGTTATCTAGTGGAAAATCATGTTTTTACGGAAAAAGGTAAAGTGGTTTGAGGAACTCAGATGTTGCCAAAATTGCCTCCAGAATGATAGATCATGACCCAAAACTATGGTAATAATTAATGTAAAGTGATGTTTCATGGAAATTATAACCCAGTTTTTATGTGCAATATTGGTACCTCACCTGGAAACAATGTTGGTGAAATAACTAAACAGATAATGCAAAAATATTTTATTTAATCCTTGAACATATTTATATATATAGCTACATTACATGAACATTATGAGTACTGACAGGACATTTTATAATTGGTTTTAGTATGATATCTCTCGAAACAGTGCACGACACATAGGGGAGGGTGGTCAGGACATTTTTGACAGTAGAATGTTGTTTGTTTTCTCTTGCATGCGCCTCAACCTTTCTTTACACACTGAGATGGTAAAATAGAACAGACAACACAATTGGGCTTGTATTGTTTGTCCTGAAATTGAGAAATGCAATGCCTTTCTGTCAATCTAGTGGCTAAAGGTACTACACTCCTCCTCTGACGTTTTGATTCCTTGAGAGAGTACCCATCCAACATGCCTACAATAACCTCCCTTCTATATTCCTTTTGGGCGAGTTTTTTGGTTGGATTCTGTATGTTATAACAAATATATAAGTTACTGCAAAATATTAATTTATTTCGCATATCACAGAAAATGGGAAGCGATAAAAACAGTGAAAAGTTGTCTTATTTCGCAATTTTTGTCTATATACAGGCTATTTCGTTACAAAATAACTACTCAAATATATATAACACAGTCTTTATTCATATTTTAACACTGGACTATACCAAAAATGCCTGGGTTATGCTGAAATAGCGGTAAATGATAATGGAAAGTGACTGACAAACAGCGAAAATTTTTCTTATCACAAACATTGCAATTTTTGTCTATATACTGGCTATTTCATTATAAAATAACTATTCTCAAATATATATAACACGGTCTTTATTCATATTTTGACACCGGACTATGCCAAAAATGCCTGGGTTATGCAGAAACAATATTATAGCAAATCTTTATATAGTCGACCCTTGTTAAAACGGACTAATAGGGGGGAAGGGTGTCCGTTTTAGCCGATTGTCCGAATTAACCGATTTAGGGGTTAATATTGCATTATACAGCTATGTGTATGTTTATTTGAGTGCCCCGTCATAGAAGTCCGTTTTCTCTCACTTCAGCACCCCTGAGTCGTCCGTTTTCTCTTAATCTTAGAGTGCACCAGAGACTGTTATATCTTAGTAGTGACACAGAATTTGATATTGCAACTGAGGTTGCAATTGTTGAGGCAACTTAGGTATGTCTGATTACAGTTGGAATATTCAAGATCCATTGTGAGTGATGTTTAAAGCTTCAACTGTCTTTATGGTTGGTAAAACTTGTCAAGTCTGTCAGTCTGAATGGCATGTGTGAGGCCTTGTGTTTGTACAACCGCTAAATATATAAATATATAATGTTATGATAATTATCAGAAACACATAGGCATAACGAGGTTTATTACAAAGTGATGAAAAGGATACTGTACAGTGGCTAGTCCACAAAACATGTAGCCATGTCTCTTTATTTGAGTGCCCCGTCATAGGAGTCCGTTTTCTCTCACTTCAGGACGCCTGAGTCGTCCGTTTTCTCTAAATCTTAGAGTGCACCAGGGACTTTTTTATTTCTTAGTAGTGACACAGAATTTGAAATTGCAACTGGGACAATCCCAGAACCAGAAATTTGATATGGACAGTTCAGATTTTGTCCGATATATCCGAAATCCGGATTAATGGGGTCCGAATTAACGAGGGTCGACTGTACAGGCAAACAGACAGAAAAACAGTGATCATATTATGAGATATAACCACCACTATTTGCTTATCTATATCAGTCTTTTATATATATTCTCATGCTTGAAACACTTACACTGCCTATCACCATAATAACAGATTAAAAATTACCTTCTTTATGTGGATTATGAACAGATATATGCCGCTGAAACAATTTTCTGGCAAATCTTTATACCGACAAACTGACGAAAAAATAGCGATCATATTTTTACATATAACCACCACTATTTGCTTATCTATATCGGTCTGTTATATATATTCACATGCTTGAAACACTTACACTGCCTATCACCATAATAAAAGAATAAAAAATACATTATTTATGTGAATAATGAACAAATATATGACGCTACGCTGGATCTGGAAATCTGTGAGTCATGTGGTTGCGTCAGCTAATGCGTCCTTGGGATATGTTTTGCCTAGCGGATACTAGATGGCAGCACAAACAGGGTGCATTTTTAACCCCAGGACGATCTTAGCCGCGCGCGGGAAATTCAGAAATTTCCCCTGTGGTCGTGGAGTAAAGTCGCTTTGCGTGGTGAAATGTTTCGTTCTGTCAGGCGACTAAAGTCGCTTTGCGCGGTCAAAGGGTTAATTAAAGTTGTTATTTTGTCCTTTGGTATTGCTTATAATAGTGTGTCATACTGTGGGAGGTTATGATACTCTTTACTACAAGTTTTATATGATAATGTCGTATACAGTCTCTCCTCGACTTACGACAGGGTTCCGTCCCTACTACCAGGTCGTAAGTCAAAAAAGCGAAAAATAATACATAGAAATTCTAAAATGAAGTACAGTACAGTAAAAGTAATCAATAATGAAAAATTAATAGTGTTACGCTGAACTTACCTTTAATGTAGTCAGCTGAATGCACATGGGGCCTCAATAATTTTTTGATTAAACATAGAGACTACATTAATTGGATGAAGCAGAGGAGGAGACAGGGCTGGGTGGCTCATCAATTTCGCTTACTTCCGACAGGCTAACGTGCTTGCTTGTTGAAGGTATTGGATCATCTTTCGGGAGTGAAGAGGCAGCAGTGGTGGGGCGTGAGGAGACAGTAATGGGGGACTTCTTAAAATATATGTCCAATTTAGACTGCACAGTTTGCCTTTTGTTTTCATTGTAAATCTCCCTGTAGCAAGCAAGTGCATCTTGGACCAGTCTGTCAACTTTTGCAAAATGCTCAACATTTTGATCCATTTTTTCGAACATTTGCATCCCCTTATTAATAGTAGCAAATGCCTCTGCCATTTGTTTCACTGAAAATTTTTTTGGGGGTGCAGGTTTTTCTTCTACATTTTGTCTCTCTTCTTCCTCTGCAATTTTCTGTGCATCCAGTTCAATAAGATCCTCGTTACCTAGCTCTTCTGCTACACTTTCCACCAATTGCTCAAAATCTTCATTATCAATTTCTAACTCCAGCTGTTTACCCAACTGCACTATCTTGTTACTAATCTCAGAAATTGCTTCATCTTCATTAAATCCTTTGAAACTATTCACATATCTTTTCAGGACCTTCTTCCATATTCCATTCATGCACTGACTTGTAACCTCATCCCATGCTGCAGCTATGTTCTTTGTTTATTGCAAAATGTTGTAGTCCTTCCAAAACTCCTTGAGCGTTTTCTCACCTTCAGTAGCAGCAACAGCCCGAGCGAAGGTCGTATGTAAACAATACGCTTTAAAAGCAGCAATAGCACCTTGATCCATGGGTTGGATGATAGAGGTAGTGTTAGATGGAATGTAGACTACCTTAACATCAGGATGCAGGTCGTCCAGGTGTGGTGGGTGTCCTGGAGCATTATCTAAAATTAACAAAATCTTGAACGCATGTTGCAGACAATACTCCTTGGCTCGTGGAATGAAACAACTCAGGAACCAATCCTCAAACAGTGCTAGGGTCATCCATGCTTTCTTATTACTGCGATAAAACACTGGCAGTGTGTGCTTGCTGACATTTTTAAAAGCCCTTGGGTTCTCTGAATGATATTTCATGAATGGTTTTAGTCCTGTACCTTGAAACCAGCTACATTCCCCCCAACAGAAGTGTGATTCGGTCCTTGAATGCCTTGAATCCCGGCATGGTTTTCACCTCTTTGTTGATGTATGCCCGTTCTGGCATGCGCTTCCAGAATAAGCCAGTTTCATCCACATTAAATGTTTGCTAAGGCAAATAATTTTCCTCCTCGATGACATGATCTAGCTCCTCCTTAAAAGCTTCGGCAGCACCCACTTCAGCACTTGCTGCTTCTCCACTCGCCTTTACACTCTGCAAACTGTAACGGTTCTTAAACCTTTGGAACCACCCATGACTTGCTGTGAAGTTGTGGTCGCACTCATCTCCTGCCTGCTCTATCAGGCTTTTGAAAAGGCTTCTTGCCTTAGCCTGTATGGTTAGAAGGCTTAAAGGTACACGCTTTTGCAGCTGATCTTCCATCCACATCACAAGTAATTTTTCCATCTCATGAAGAGGACCTTGTCTTTTTTCGTTATTATTGTTCCCTTTATAGGTGCTGATCCTTTCACTACCTCACGAATTCGTTCCTTGTCCTTCAAAATTGTTGATATCGTCGAGTGAGAGAAGCCAAGGTCTAGTGAAATGGTTGATACCGTTTTTCCATTTTCATATTGCATTATTATTTTCATTTTCATCTCAAAAGTAATTGACTGTCTCTTTTTCTTCTCAGCACCACGAGAACTCTCACTTTTATGCTTGCCAGTCATTTTAAAGGGAATTAGAAACAAAAATTTTGTCAGCACATAGCGCGATCACTAATGACAACGACGAAGGCCAAACACCAACTGAGCGGGCTACGGTGTGGATACTGTACACCACGAGGCGGCCCAGCCCACGCTGTTGTACGGGTCCGAAACGTTTCGGTATTATAAAATATGAAATTTGAAATATATTTTATACGACCACGGCGGTTGTATGTCCGGGATGTCGTAAGTCGAGTATGTCATAAGTCGAGGAGTACCTGTATGCAACTTAAAAGCTCTGCTATACAATTCAGGCAATTTTTATTGTGCATGTAACTTAAGAATTCTGTCAATTTTATGTCCTCTCCCTCCCCCCAATGATTTGGTGCTGTACACCTGTGACATGTATTGTGAGCCCCAAGATGGCACTTGTTGAGGAGGAGAAACTGTTTGAAAATGTAACTTTATTTATCCGGTATTTATATTATTTTTTTATTTTTAGGATAACAAAAGTATCTTTGACCAAGAACGTTATTGCGAAGTATGGCTAAACATGGCTGTTGTAAGCGGACTATAACTGTACAGTGACCCCTCGGTTAACGAACTCAATCCGTTCCAGAAGGTCGTTCGTTAACCGAAAAGTTCGTTAACCGAAACCATTGTTTCAATGGGTTTTTGGGTAATTGGTTCCAGCTCACCGAAAATTTCCTAAATTCAACAAAAATGGTAGAAAAGTTCACTTACTTTGAGGTGTGTATGTAGAAGGCTCCTGGATGATGATGATGATGATGGGAATTACAATGGGGGTGGAGGAGAAGGAAGAAGAGAAGGCATTGGGGTGGAAGAGAAGTCACCCCATGGCACCATTTCACCCATAAAATTTTAGTTCTCTTGGTGTATTTCAAGATTATTTTCTTTAAATCAACACTGTACTGCATTATATATTGTCAATATGTAAAATATATTTCAAAATGACCAATAATTTGCTTGGAAACACAGAAAAAAGCGTTTAGTTGAAGAGAGTCTCAAGCAAGATGTTACCTCCAGTGAAAACAGAGAGACTAACGCCTGTTTGCTGTGTTAAGAGGCTGGATGCTGCGCTTTAAACTAGTCACTTTACCTTCAATTATGTTCAATAATTGTTAAAATGACTAAAAAATTGAATATTAAATTTTTAAAATTATTGAATAGTATAAACTTCTTGATATTTACTAAAATAGTTAGGAATTTAAGCCCTAGAACCGATTAATGTATTGGCGGACTGATACTAAAGCTGGTTGCCCGGCCAGTGCAAGCGAAAACATGTTGAGGTCGGTTCGTAAGAAATTCGTTAACCGAATTTTTGTTCGTTAACAGAATTGAAGATCCTTATGGAAGGCAGTTCGTTAACCGAAATTTCGTTAACCGAGGCGTTCGTTAAACGAGGGGTCACTGTACAGTATTTACATTATATTATTTTGATGTTAAATATATGCGTTTAACTGAGAGTGAGGGAAGCCTCAAGCTAACAGTTAGCCTCATTTTCTCTTATGGAAAAATTATTTTGGTGTAACTCATTTTCATTTAACAGAGTACTTATCAGGAGCACATCTATCACATTAAGCAAGAATTTATAGTACTATTTATGCATTTTAGAATTAGGTAGGATATATGACTAAAAGCAGGTGTTAGTGATTATATTTTACACAAGGCTATAAGGTTTGAGATGCAGGTTGAGATGATGAAAAAGTTTGTGTTGCTGTCATAAGTCATCTCTAATATTTAATTAATTACCTGTAATTAGAAAGAGAAGTTTGATATGTATGGAAGTAAAGTAAGATTATATGATGTTGGTATAAGTGAAGATTTCTTTTGGCTGATCTTGTGTAAGGTAACAGATGCCAAGAAACAATGACTTTAACCCCTGGGCTTTGGGTGGCAATTCTAGTCTTACAAACTGCATGATATAACCAGGAAATTAATATATGTTGGCAACACGGGCTAGGAGTGAAAGGATAAATACCTTCTTGGCAACATAATCTAGCCAGACTTGACCTTTTTATTCAAACAGACCTGCAAAAAATCAAAACAGCATGTGACATGACCCGAAGCTCTACAGACACACGCCACAGGACGTGACCTGAAGCCTAAGGGCTTAGACCTTTTCCTCTATAAATATTACTCAGTTGCTTCCTTCCTTTACGCAGGTATTCCAGGTTTCGAAAGAGTTGTCCAAATTCTCTCGTCTTGAAATTGCTCTCTCAGTGGGTGGCCTCGACCTTGCAACCCAAAAGGCAATGTTGAAGAAAGTGCCAGATATTATCATAGCAACCCCAGGACGACTCATAGACCATTTGCAGAATACTCCATCTTTCACCATAGACAGTGTGGAGGTCAGTATCATTCATTAGATAATGGTTGTTCATGAAATATTTGAAAAAGAAATCATCAGTAGTGTTAATTTCTCTGTCATCTTCATTATTTTTTTATGAATCCCTCACTTGAAAAAGAAAACAGAAAAACATTGAGTTCCTAATGTGTGTGACATATGAGATAACTTGTACATGGCTTATTTTATCACAAAAAAATGTCTGGATTTTTCAGTACCCTTCCAACTTCAGTAAAAGCATACTGCTGTGCTAGTGAAAAAAAAGTATCTTGTTTATTAAATGAGTGAATGAATGTATGCACTTGTGCATGCATGGGTGTACAGTATGTGCAAAGCCTGGTTAAAGGTTGGAGTAGGCCCTATACCAGGGGCTCTAGAGGAGGGTCTCATGCTCATGAATAACACAATAATGTAGCATGTTGAATATATCTGGTCCCAAAATGTACAACCGTTTACAAAAATATAAACGCACATAAATTATATAGTGCAAAATATGTCCATGTTTGAGATAAAAACAAAATTAAATGAAGTGTCAAAAAGATTATTTCACTGCATGTGTACATAATGCAACTACAGACCAGACATAGTGTACACTAATTATACTGGCAATAAATCTGCAAACTTTTGCAAGCCTATCCATAATAATTAAAATTTTGAAGTTTAGAAAATTAAGCCTGGGATTTCTTTTCTAGGGTAATTTTTTGTTATGTTCTAGTCTAACACTTTGTCTGACAAAAATTAAATACACCTAACAAATCTGATAATAGCTTTATTCATAGCAACTCACATTTTCATAGAAATCACTTACAATGGCTTGCAAATTTATCAAAAATACAGTAAAAATACAATGTGGAAACAGATTCCTCCATTACACAAAATTTATTTTTTCTTGACTTTTGTGCAGCATAACCACATACAGTTCTTTATCTTACCCATGCATGAAAAAGAACATTCAGCCTCACACACTGACACACCAATGGTCCGGAATACAGTAAAGCCTCCGATAACAACGGTTCGACCAACAACTTTTCATATTTAAAACCCTAGTTAATTTAGGACCCAATTCAATTTACGTCCTTATTTCATTCGTATTTACGACCAAAATATAATAAAAATAAAATATAATAAAATTTTCATATAAATAATAACTAAATCACGATATTTATTATTTAAAAAAAAAAATGAAGAGCGCCCTGCACAAAGAAGCTGCCTTGCTAATGAGTGGTAAACAACAGTCGGAGCTTGGCAGGCCTTTTGTTTTCACGCCTCTGGAACAGGAGAAAAACTTCCTCAGGTTTCTTATAGCATTTTTGCATCCCTATTCAACATGAGCAAGAGAGCAAGTGATGGTAGTGATGTTTCAAAAGCTAATAGAAAGTGTCTAAGGTTAGCCGAGAAACTAGATGTGTTAAAACGATATGAAAAAGGTGAGAGGTCTGTGGATATTATATGGAGCAAGCAATGAACATATTTTCTGAAGTGGCTCCATTAACAGAACAAAGCATTAAAATTTAAATAAATGCAAATGACCTCTACATAAAGATGTATAATGAGAAAAGAAAGCAGCTGTGCAAGGTTCTCTTGACAGCTTTATTATTCAAAGGCCTAAACCACCAACTTCAGCTACACCATCAAATTCAGCATCATAAGCAGCTTCAACATCAACTTCAGGTTCAGTTTCAGCAACAGCTTTATGGAAAGCTACAGCTTCAGCCAGAGTTGAACCTGATGACTTCGTCATCTGAGTAAAAACTCACACAATATTCATTGGCTGTTTTAGACTTTACCACCATTGGTGAAAAGAATTTTTTTTTTACATTCGTAAATATTATTTAAAGCATATATGAACAGTAAATAAGTGTTGCTTTCATATTCATATGTAGAGAAATGCCGATATGTTTTCACATGTACGCACTTACTGTTCATATGTTGGCATTCCCAATCGTCTCGCCTTATTTCTTTACCATTAGTGGTTAGCTACTTCCAGTGTTCCATTTATTAACACTAAATAGCATTACTTGAAACATACATACAGGTATTCAAATTTTTTAAATTAAGTTCACTACAGCTACAACCAGGGTCTTATTTTCTTCAGTTTCTTATGTAGAACCATCTTCACTCACGAAAACAATGCTGTCTTGTCTCCTCGTGTGTGTTTTAATATTCTACGTATTTTTTATGAATTGCAATCTTCATTTCACAAATATAAACATTAATTCAATCAAATACATATTCAGTAATAAACAATAATGAATCTTTTGTACATATTCTTAAGATAAATGACGCTGTATCCTTAAATGTGCCTGTAAATGTTGGCGTTCCCAATTCATCTCTTTTTTTTTTTTTTGCCATTAGTGGTTAGCTACTTCTATTGTTCCATTTATTAACATTAAATAATGTTACTTAAAACATATATATTCATTTTTTTACATTAATTTTACTACAGCTATAAGCAAGGTTTTATTTTCTTAATTTTCTCGTGTAGAACTATCGTCCCGAACTCCCGGCTGTAAACACAAACGAAAACATTGGCGTCCCATCTCCTCTTGTGTGACTGTATTATTATTCATATATATTGTATAAGGTGCATTCATAAACGTTTAAAGAATATAGTTTGCAATTTTCATTAATTGTATTGTTTTGGTGAGGAAAAAGAGGGTAAAAAGCTGCACAAAAGATATGAAAAAGTCACACTTGGGAATGCATTTCATTATTATTGCTTTATTTTAATGGTAATTAATGATTCGCGATACGACTATTCACCTTACACTGCAATATTGGAGGACACATTAACATCGTTATTCGAGACTTTACTGTATTGCGGTTGCAGTCTTCACATTAGGAAATGCACTTGCGATCAAAGGATGGACAGTCAGATGCTTCATCACTTCCCTTGGGGTCTTTCAACAAGCTGATGGAGAGCAATGATGCAAGCAACCTTTGATGACATGAATCACAACTCTTCTGGCAGTCAATAGGAAAGCAACAAATCGGTTAAATTCAGCGTTGCAGTCTTCTGCCAAATCACTTGGATAAGCAACCATGAGATCTGCAACTGATGATTCTAGAATAGGATCTTTAGATGCAACCAGGAATATGCACCTGAAGGTCTTTTGAGCATCTGAGTAGGTATTGTGTCGCTCTTCAATTGCCTGTGATATACGTTCAACTATTGAAATGTAGCTGTCAATACAATATTTTGTAGAGCCACTCAGCACCATGTCATCTGAGCTACTGTCTACACCCATTTAATCTTTGATCTTCTCACCCTTGATTTTTTATAGTCATCAGAAATGTCAGGCATTCTTTGTTTAGCAACTGTTTTAAACTTGTCAGACAGATATTTCTCTCAGGTCTCTAATGAATGCAGCTAATGATTCAAATGTGGAACAAGTTTCCTGCAGATCATGGTCTTCAGTTTAAAGGATTACACTTGAATTCTGGAAGAATTTAAAATACACAACCAGAACTGACACATGAACAATGTCTCCAGTGGTGTAATTTTTTTTTCTGTTAAAGATGAAGCCTTGACATGTGTGTAAGGCAGCTGATATGTGTCTTTAGTGGATGTGGAACAAGTATATAATTGGCTTAAACGGCATTTGATGAAAGAAATGTTTCCCTCAGCACACCTGTCTTTTAGGACCCGTAGAGTGATATCAGAAGGTGAGCGAACACAAATTTCCCTTTGGACTTGATTTTGGGGATAATTTCTCAAAATGGTGATCAGTTTAATAAATCTTAATAATTTTTTTAATATTTCAACAAATTTCATGCCATTTCCAAGTGTATTTGGGCCACAGAATGCTATGGTGAATTTATAAACTTCAAATTCTAACCCTGGACCATTATACCAAGCAATTTTTTCAAAATGGCGATTTCAAAATTAGATAAAAATAAGTCGTCTTTTTCACCCAGGCAAGGAATACCACCACCTACCAATGGAGACAGACATTGCAGCTAGTGTAGGGAAAAAAAGAAAACAAGGTTTAGATTGGTATGCAGTAGCTTTTGCAAGACTTTCAAAGTACCTCATGGAGGAAATGACTTGTCATAAAACATCATTTGAAGAAAGTTTCACAAAAGGCTGCCAAGGCTTGTCTTTTCTCGCAGCACTACTTGCTGCCAACAACATCATTTTATATTTTCATATTTCATGCAGGACTACCCAGCCAGCCCTTTCAATATGTCATCTCATTATGTTGAACCACAAGACACGACTGCCAGCTGAGAACATTGTGCAGCACACTAAAGACTTTTAGCCATCTCTGTTACTCTACATGGCCTTACCCTCAGACAGGACACATAGCTGATCTGCTATTGAGAAGATGCATTCACTGGGGGTCAGTGTCTCATCAAACCAAGTTTTAGAAATTATATCTTCATTGTGCAACCTTGTCACTCAGTATGCAGAAGAGGAGGGTATCCTATGCCTGGGCAAACTTGTCTGTGTTGTGTTCACAGTTGGTGCGTATGACACTGTGAACTACAACCCATCAAGCATAACATCTGCAGGAACATCTCATGGTGCCAGCATTTCTATATGCCAGTTGCCATCAGCCTATCAGTCCAGGAAACCTAAGACCATTGAAACCGCCTATGTGGGCTCATGGGTTGACACTGTCCCACAGCTTCCCAAGTCATATATCATTGTTCTAAACATCTTCCTATCAGAAAAGCAGCCTTCTTTGCCTGCACAGAGCATTTGCATTGTACAAGATATGATGCCTTTAGGATCTATGACTTGGCATTGAAGCAATGGAAAAGCGAATAGGAATGGCTGCAGAATGTACAACAGCATCTCACAGGTGAACCTCTGAACAACCTGTCATGGGCAGCTTTCTCTGCGACAAAACACTGGGAACAGAAATGTATAGTACAATCAGGAATCAGTTCACTCCTGTCACTCTTCCATGAAGGCTCTACTAATCCCTCTACGGTACAGCATGGTATGGACATCACACAGGCAATTACAAAGGACCAGAGTCTTGGCCAGCTACCCATCATTTGTGTTGACCAACCCTTGTTTGCCACTGCCAAACTTACCGGGTATACAGTGGAACTGTCCATATATTTATGGGGAAGACAAGTTCATGACCAGTTTGTTCCCTCTCACATTGAACAAGTCTTCCTGCAAACAGCTGGTCAGTTCATGGCAGAATGTGGATGGAACGGCGTGGCTATCAATGCAGGACTAACGACAAAAGGATCTGCAGAAGCTATGATGAAATTGATTCATGATACAAAGTCAAGGGCAGCTCATCAGGTAACAGCTGCAGCTCTCCATTTACTGCTCATTGAAGCCCACAGCGAAGTACCTGACACACCACTGGTCACATGGATTGGGGATCGCATACAAGAAAGTCCACCATTTAAGTACTGGCTGTCAGTACTGAACATGGAAATCCTGGTGCTTATCTTTGTGCATTCTAAAAGAGATGGAGATTATGCACTATTCAAAGAATGTTTGAAGTGCAAAATGCCATTGGTTCTTCCTGCTTGTCTATTACCAATATGCTCGCTGGCTATCTGTGCATGTAATGAATCTGGAGAACCTTTCTGCACATTTTCCTGAGCTACAGTCAATTCTCCAATGGAAACTTCTCTTGGCTCTGGCGATAGATCAGGCGCATGAACAGCATAATGCAGTCAAGAGCAAGGGGGACCCCATTGAACTTACGCAGGACCCCACAGCTATGAGGTCAAGAAGAGATGATTCTGGGTAGCTTCATTTTTTTTTTTTTTTTATTAATGTCATCACATAATTTCTCTGGATAAATAAAACTTGTGCATTACTTTCGACCTGTAATTTTACCTACCAGTTGTCATCCTGACAAAACCCCAGAAACTATAGTTAAGAATCAATATGCTACATCCCCTACTAATAAAGTAATGAATAAAGCATTGTTCTTTTCAATGTTTTTTTTATGTATTCATACTCGGCGACCAGAAAATAAAGTTGGAAAATTACCAAAAGATCATTGAAAATGACAATTTATTTTTATCCTCTTTTGGGGTGGCCATTTTACTATCACTTTACTTTGATCCTCTTCACCACTGATCGACTCATTAGCCGCTTGGGCTGTTGGGCATGTCTCTGTTATGTACTGTTGGCAAGTACTGGGCATGCACCGGCTCTTAAATGTATCCGAACCTGCTCCAGTGTTAGTCAAGTTTGGTTTTAAAAGAGCTCGCACTCTGTGCCATTACGACACTCTCTGGCAGGTTGTTCCAAGAGTTCGCAATTCTCACTCTGAAAAAGTTTGTCCTTACAGTTTTCTGGACTTGCGGCTTCTTAACCTTGAGTGGGCATCCGCCAGCACCGGGTATGGACACTAGACTAAGTAGTGCCCTTTGAGATGGTGCCCCTTGCCTGTCTGTAGTTTAAGCTATGCAGTTGCAGGTGTTCTAATCTCTCTGGATAACTGAGAAACTTAAGTGCAGGCACCAGTCTGGTGGCCCTCCTTTGGACATTTTCAATCAACTGACACTCCCTAGCATATCTCGGGGACCAGACGGGGTGACAGTACTCACAGCCTTTCATGGGGTACTCTGTCGAAAGCCTTGGCAAAATCTAGGTATATACTGTATTGTCGATATTTCCACCTTGTTCCAGAATTTGGGTCCAAACATCCAGTTCCTTGAGTAATTGTATTTTGCAGGAGCGTCCTGGCAGAAATCCATGTTGGCAGTCCTTTACAAGGTTGTTTCATATTAGATTTTCCATCAAGGCTCACTGGTCTATAATTATTCGTGGAGTGTTGATCGCCCTTCTTGTTTATAGGAATCGCACAAGCCATTTTCCAATCACTGGGGACCTTTTTCTCATCCAGACATTTACAGAACAGGATCTTCAGGGACTCAGCAATCACATTGCACAACTCTCGTAGCACTCTGGGATGCACCATGTCATGGCCGGGACTCTTATGAACCTTTAGCTTAGATAATTTATTTCTTATACAATTAAGCCTTGAATAACGATGGTAATGTGTCCTCCAATATTGCAGTGTAAGGTGAATCATCATGGGTTTTTACCCTCTTTTCCCCAAAACAATAAAATTAATGAAAATTTCAAACTACAGTAAAGGTCCAAAAATCCAAATGAAAGAAATCCGGACCACCCGAGAATCCGGACTTTTCGAAAGCTAATTTTATTTATTTTTTTTTAGTGGGCTTTTGTGTGTATGTGCGCATGCGTGAGCGCCACTTTAAAACGAGCAATCAAACTGTGACAACATACCGTATATACTCGTCTATAACCCCCCTCATTTATAGGTCGACCCTGATTTTTTGACCTACGTTTTTGAGGGTAATGGAACAACAAAACCTTCTGTAAAAACACTCTACGTCCTATAAACTGAGGCTCGCCGTGCCTGAAACACGAGTGCCGAAGGCAAATTGTTTACCATTTATTATTACGACACTTTACACTGAAACGCGGGTAGTTTCAACAAAAATATCGTATATTTCCATTCAAATATTTATTCAAGTCAGTTAGGAGGGAATATTATTGTAATACAACAGTTTTTTAACTAAACCATTCGAAAAGCGATTACGGTAACATCTTTTGAACGAAAGAAAGCGAAAGTCATTGTTTTCGTCACGATTTTATCCCACTTTCCACTGTAATACGTACGTCATTTCAGCAAAAATATTACATTTCCGTGAATGCATTATATCAAGCACAGTATGAATAGAATACCATTGTAATATAACAATATTTTGAGTCCTGCTCTTTCCATTTACAGAGTACTGTACAAGCCCATAATAATGGCTCCTAAAATAGATAAACTTCGTTGTGTGAAGAGAAAGAAGAACACGTTGAAATTGAGTGACAAACTTGAAATAATTAAGAAACTAGAACGTGGTGTGAGCAATACTGTTCTAATGGAAACATATAACATTGGAAAGTCTACATTTTATGATATAAAAAAGGCAAAGAATAAAATTCTAGAATTCACAGCTTTTTCATTAAAACTGCTCGTTTTGATAAATGAAGCATGCTATATTTGCTAATGAATAAACTATCAAAATGTACCTGTTCATCTCTTCTTTATTCCTCCTTAAATTTGAATTTTAAAAGTACTGCCTGAGAATCCGGAAAATCCGAAAATCCGGACCAACCCAATCCCCAAGCAGTCCGGATTTTTGGACTTCTACTGTATATGCTTTACATAAAGTTTACGAATGTACCTTAAATAATATAAATCAACATTAACAATAATATGGTCACACGAGGAGATGGGACGCCATTGTTGTTGTCAGTGTTTACACCCATAACGAGAGTTATCCATCTGAAACTGAAGAACATATGACCCTGGTTGTTGTTGTTGTAGTAAAATTAATGTAAAAAACATGAATGTTTAAATTAGTGTTATTTGATTTACAGTAGAAGTAACCACTGATGGTAAAGAAAAAAGTGAGAGACTGGTAGCGGAACGCCAACGGACACGTTTGTACTAAAGTAAACAGCGTCATTTATCTTCCTAAGAATATGTACAAAAGATTTATTATTGTTTATTACGGAATAGTATGTATTTGATTGAATTAATGTTTATACAGCCACTCCTCGACTTACGAACGCCCGGACATACCAACGCCCCAGTCGTACCAAAAGTTTTTCAAATTACGTATTTTCGAGTCCCGACGTTAGTGGTTGCGCTGTGTACTGACAAAATTTTGGTTAGTAATTCCCTTTAAAATGGCTGGCAAGCTTAAAAGTGAGAGTTTTGTGGTGCTAATAAGAAAAGGAGACACCCATTTTAGATTTTCTATGTACATGTATTATTTTCGAATTTTCGACTTACAGCCTGGATTTGGGTCCCTAACCCAATCGTAAGTCGAGGAGCGGCTGTACAGCGATCCCTCGGTTAACGAACGCCTCGGTTAACGAAATTTCGGTTAACGAATTACCTTCCATAAGAGTCTTCACTACGGTTAACGAAAACATTTCGGATAACGAATTCCTTACGAATTTTTCCCAACATGTTTTCGCCTGCTCCCCAGCTGTAGTATTAGACCGCCAATACAGTAATCGGTTTTAGGGCTTAAATTCGTTACCATTTGAGCAAATATCAAGAAGGTTGTACTATTCAATAATTTTCCAAGTCTTATATTAAAGTTTTTAGTCATTTTAACAATTATCTAACATAATTGAAGTCCAGGGAACTAGTTTTTAGCTCGCCAAACAGCCACTCAACACACCCAAAATAGCGTCAGTGTGTGTCCCTGCTCAGTGGAGGGAGCTTCTTGCTTGAGACTCTCTTGAACATAAACTATTTTTACGTTTTTACAGTACAGGTTGACAATCCCTTATCCGAAATCCTTGGGGCCAGAGGCATTTCGGATTTCGGAATTTTTCAGTTTTCAGAATGGTTAGGTTTTTTTTCTTTTTACGTGTATTAGCCCACTCGGGCACAGGTTACTGACCCACATTGGGGCCTGGGGGGCAAAAATATAATAATAATTATAATAATAATAATAATAATAATTCATAGGTCTAGGTCGGGTTTCTCACTTTTGATCTTTTTTTTAGTCTTGTATTTCTTTATTATTATTATTATTACTATTATTGTTATTATTATTATTATTATTATTATTATTATTATTATTATTATTATTATTATTATTATTATTACAGTATTATTGTTATTAGTATTATTATTAATGTTGTTATTATTATTATTACAGGTTGACAACCCTTTATCCGAAATTCCGAAAACCGAAAAGCTCTGAAAACTGAAAGTTTTTTTTGTGGAGCATTTTTTTTTTTATTATTTTTTTTTACAGGGATTAGCCCACCCAGGCATAGATCACTGACCCACATCGGGGCCTGGGGGGCGAAAAAGTAATAGTAATACTAATTATAATAATTATTATAATAATTATTCATAGTAAATAAAAATTTTAATTAAAAAATACACCAAAATAAAATAATAATGATAACAATAATAATAAAATATAATAATAAAATTTAAAATAATAATAATAAGAATAATACTGTATTAATAATAATAATAATAATAATAATAATAATAATAATAATAATAAAGATATACAAGAATGAATAAGATAAAAAAAAGTGAGAAGCACGACCTAGACCTATGAATTATTATTATTAGTATTATTATTATTATAATTGTTATTATATTTTCGCCCCTCAGGCCCCAATATGGGTCAGTGACTTGTGCCTAGGTGGGCTAATACACACGCACACAAAAAAAAAAAAAAAAAATCTGAAAACCGAAAAATTCCGAAATCCGAAATGCCTCTGGCCCCAAGGATTTCGGATAAGGGATTGTCAACCTGTATTATTATTATTATTGTTATTATTATTATTATTATTATTATTATTATTATTATTATTATTATTATTATTGTTGTTGTTGTTATCATTATTATTTATCTTGGTGTATTTTTTATTAAAAATTTATTTACTATGAATAATTATTATTATTATAATTATTATTTCTATTACTATTACATCTTCGCCCCATCTGGGTCCCGATGTGGGTCAGTGACCTATGTCCGGGTGGGATAATTCATTAAACAAAAAAAAAAAAAGGTTTTGCTCCACAAAAAAACTTTCAGTTTTCAGAGCTTTTCAGTTTTCGGAATTTCGGATAAAGGTTTGTCAACCTGTACAATTATTGGTCATTCTGAAGTTTATTTTACATATTGACAATATATAATGCAGTGCAGTGTTGATTTAAAGAAAATAATCTTGAATTACACCAAGTGAACTAAAATTTTATGGTGAAATGGCGACATGAAGCATGGGGTGACTTCTCTTCCACCCCAATGCATTCTCTTCTCCCTTCTCCTCCACCCCCACTTCTAATTCCCATCATCATCATCATCAACCAGGAGCCTTCTACATGCACACTTCAAAGTAAGTGTACTTTACTGTATTTATTTTTAGTTTGTATGTAATTTTCGGTGAGCTGGAACCAATTACCCAAAATCCCATTGAAACAATGGTTTCGGTTAATGAAATTTTCGGTTGACGAACGACCTTCTGGAACGAATTGTGTTCATTAACCGAAGGACCACTGTATATGCAAAATAAACAATACAATTCATTCATAATACAGTAATACCCCGCTTAACACGGTTTCGCTTAGCGCGATTTCACGTATACGCGGTGCCTCGCCAGAGCCGAACTTCACTTAACACGGGTTTTTTCCACGTATAGGCGCAGAGTGTCCGGCTCGAGACACTATTTTTAGATTCGCCCCACCCTGCCTGCCTGCCTGCCTGCCTGCCTGCCTGCCTGCCTGCCTGCCTGCCTGCCTGCCTGCCTGCCTGCCTGCCTGCCTGCCTGCCTGCCTGCCTGCCTGCCTGCCTGCCTGACTGCCTGCCTGCCTGTCTGTTTTAGCTCATAAAATTCATACAAATTACCCGGCCAGAATATAATTTACATTGCTGGAATTCTTACAATTTGATGATCATTTTGAATATAAACATCATAGATTTTGCATTAGACATACAAATTTTAGATATAATGTTTACTCTGAGTAAATATGTTATCTTTTGTGCAAAATATATGACATTTATATTCAAAATATTCCTGGTCTTACAAGGAATCCAGCAATGTCAATTATATTATCCTAACTTTAATCTGAGGTATTATTTAATACTAAATGTTAAAATTTAGTTTTTTCACCCAACATCTCTTGAAGGGAGGATTGGTGGGGGGGGAGGGTTGGGACTGACCGACCACCTGGCGTGGTTGGAAGAGGGGGGGAGGCAAGGTGGGGTACTTTGATTGACAGATAGTGTCGTGAAGAATAGTTTTTTTTTATTAACTGAAGATATTTGTTTTAGCTCATAAAATTCATACAAATTACCCGGCCAGAATATAATTTACATTGCTGGAATTCTTACAATTTGGTGATCATTTTGAATATAAACATCATAGATTTTGCATTAGACATACAAATTTTAGATATAATGTTTACTCTGAGTAAATATGTTATCTTTTGTGCAAAATATATGACATTTATATTCAAAATATTCCTGGTCTTACAAGGAATCCAGCAATGTCAATTGTATTATCCTAACTTTTTTTTGAGGTATTATTTATTAAAATTTAGTGGTTTTCCCCCCAAAATTTCTCAGAGGGAAGAGCCAGCAGTGTAGTGTGAGAAGAGGGGGAGGGAGTCGAGTCCATTATTTGAATGGACATTAACTTTGCAACTGTATTTCTCTATTTCTCTTAAGTATTAATTGTGTGCATGTACCATCATAAAATTAAGATGTTATTTTTACTAGAACATAGGTATTGTGTCGGAAAAAGTAGAGTTTGGGGATCCGGCCAGTCTCTATTGGAATTAATTCCATATGTTCTGTTGTTCACTTAACATGGTACCCTGTGGGTTCAATTGACCGCGTTAAGCGGGGTACTACTGTACATAGAATATTAAAACACACAAGAGGAGACGAGACGGCATTGTTTTCATTAGTGTTTACACCCGTGACGATGGTTGTACATAAGAAACTGAAGAAAATAAGACCCTGGTTGTATCTGTAGTAAAATTAGTGTAAAAAAATGATTATGTATGTTTAAGAAATATTTTTTAATGTTAATAAATGGAACAATAGAAGTACAGTGATATCCCCGTTAGCTGGAAAAATTGGTGCAGAGCACTTCCGGGGATGAGAGATTTCCAGCTAACCAGACAACTTTCTCAAACCCGGAAAAATTCCTTATCCCGGAATATTTTCCGGTAACTGGGAAATGTTTCCTAGTGTCTAAACTAGACATCTTGCGCACACAGACACTAGCCCACTTCCCCAGAATAT